TCTTTTGGATCTTTTGAGTAGTTGATTCACCCCTAAAAAAAGAGGCTTTGGTGCCATAGAAACCTCAGACTCAAAGTGGGGAGAGAAAGAAACTACTTACTACACAGCAGGATCGATCTAGTCATCATTACTCTTATTGCGTCCTAGTAACAACTCTATCAGTAAGCAAATGTAAAAAGTTGAAGGTCACCTTAACAAAGGGCAGAGCCAGGTTTCAAATCAAGGTCTGGCTGGCCCCAGAGCCCAAGATTTCTCCTCTGCACTGTGTGTCTCACCACAGACAAAGGCCTAGACCTAGGAAGACAGTGATCAGCAGATCACTGGCCTACACTGGGCTTTTGCAGCGCTGCTGCAGCACACCTCTGTACGGCCCTAAAGCAGGGTGGCCCTCATGTATGTTCATAAAGAACCACAGCCTGGCCAGGCACGGAGACTCACATCTGTGATCCCAGCATTTTGGGAGGCCACGGTGAGAGGATCACTTGAGCCAGCCTGGGCCAAATAGCAAGACCCTGTCTCTACAAAAAAAAAAATTTTTTAATTAACTGGATGAGGTGGTGTGCACCTGTGGTCCCTGCTACTCAGGAGGCTCAGGCAGGAGGACTGCTTGAGCCCAGGAGTTTGAGGCTGCAGTTATTTATGATGGCACCACTATAACCCAGCCTGGATGACAGAGTATGACGCTGTCTCTGAACAAAAAAAGAACTACAACTACACATCCATGCACATGCACACACAGCAGGACGCACGTGTGCCAGGTCTCAGCTTACTGGCCAGGCTGGTCTTGTGGAGACGGCTCTCCTTTCCAGTCACCGCTCTCCACTGTCCTGCTGACACTTTCTTCCCCATGCCTTTAGGAAATCGTCCTGTGTATTACAGTCACTGCATTCCCTCCCACCTCCACTGCAGGCCAGGCTTTCACGCATGGATTTGGAGGGCAGCATAGGCTCTGGGAGCACTATTGCCTCTCCACTTTCAGGGCCAGACCCTCAGGTGTTGAGGACAGAGGGGGAAGGGGGCAGGCAAATGCTCTGGAGGGCTTCCTCTGTACCCCTCAACATGGCAGCCAGCTCTGGCTCCCCCAGAACCCCTCCCCTCTGCCACTGGCTACACACTCTGTAACATGTGGCTGAGGTCCCTGCCCAGCAGACAGTCTCCTGGGTGGGGAACCAGTAAGGTGCTAGGCCCATGTGACCCACCCAGCGTGACACACACACACACACCCATGCCACGTGAAATGTGGGCACGCTGAGCACTGTGGCCATCCCACTCCCACCTAGCATTCTCCCTACTTTCTTTTCTCCCTGTTCTATAGTCATGGAGGTTGGGCCCATGGGATGGAGATGCCTCTTTCCTCATCTAGCAGGACCCCAGTTTTTGCTGGCGATTCTCTAGAAGGACCCCCAACCAAGCTGAGGTTCTCTCTTGCTTATTCCTTGTCCAGTCTTCTGTGAGAGACCAGGAGTGTGTCACAGGGCACTAGAGGGAAGTTGCAGAGACCTGAGGGTGGGCTCTGGCCCTGTTGTGCTCCTCTCTTTAGAATAAGGAGACTTACTTCTTTGTCCTCTGTTTTGGCTCTAGTTACTGCTCTCTGGACAATAAGAAAGTCCCTCTCCACACTGTGTCACACACAGATATAATGTGGAAAATTAAAGACCTAGGATGCTTGTTGTACCAATGGTGGCTTACAGAAGTCAGGAGACTTCTCTGGGGTACTGGCCCTAAATGACTCTGGATGGGTGCACCTTACTTAATACCAAGGCACTCCCTGTAGTCCAGGATCCAGGATGCAGTCAAAAGCCTGTCCTGTTCTTCCTTCTGTTTTCTACAGCAAATGTGATCTGCTGACTGCCCCAGGTCCAGTCACATACACACATACCATATATACATACCACACACAAACACACACATACAAATACAACTCTGCACACACAAATACTTACATACATTCCCACAGAACCTCCCCCCACCCACACACAGACACTTACATGCATGTGCTGGCCTACCAGTCCTCAGCGTCACTCCCAAAGGATAGGGCTGCTGCTCTGCCCTCTGGGGCTCACACCAAGGTCAGGGTGCTAGCCAAGAGAAGGGTCTTTGTTTTTCATTCAATAGTGGTGCTTACCCTGAGTTCAAAATGCAAATGTGTTTTCTGCCAATAGGCAAGAAGAAAAATAGTGATTGCAGAGACCTCAAAAATGACAGCAGAACAAAGACCAATTCCTGAAGTGGCAAGGGAGAAAAACCTAAAGCCAAGTCGCACTTGACTTGCATTAGCTACAGTGGCCTCATTGCCAAATCAGTCCAGCAAACCACCCAGGAACAAAGGGGCCAAGGAATCCATAAAATCACTGAGCTAGAGAGCCCCTGGAGAGAGGAGCCCTTACTGCTCCAGCACACAAGGCCCTACACACACGGTTGCTTCCATGTCACCTCTGTTGGCTCCAGGGTACGAGCACTCTGCAAATGCTAGCCACTATCAGCAATCTGCAGAAACACCACTTCTAGCTGCTCTGTTCAGTCACAAGCCAGTGCACCTCTTAGCCCAGATCCCTGGCCATATGTGGGACAGAGAGGGAGGCCTGGGACCCCACAGCAGAGCAGGGACAGGCTGGCAGGAAAGCTGCAAGGCATGTTTTGGCACCCTTTCATGGGCAGACCTCCCTCCTCTCTGGCCTATGTGTGCTGAGCTATAAGATGTGAGGGAAGTTTGCACTGTTTTAACAGGGATACCTTTGCCTCCATGGTTCCCTCAGCTGCAGCTCCACTCTCTTGTGGATGAAGGCCAGAACCCCGCTTCCTGGCTTCTGAGAGACGCACTAGAGAACATGCAGTGTTGCAAACTTACCTGGGCCTTAAGGGCTCACTGCATTGAAGTGAGAAGAATGCCGGCTATTTCCCTCATCCAAAGGGTCGGGATTGGAAGAGTCTGCAGAGACCCCTTCAACTCCTTTGCTTTTCTGAGGGTGGGACTGGGTTGGGTCAGACCTTGCCAATGGAGCTGGGTGCAAGCTCAGGGCTGTGGGCCTTGCTGCTCCCCACTCAGTCCTCAGGGCTGGGCACAATACTCAGCCTGGCTGGGGACGGAGATTGTGTTGTATAAGTGAACCAACAAATTAATCTACAGTACTGTGCTCACTGGAGTTATTGCAGGGCTGCTCCAAAGGACAGAAACCATCTTTCCAAAATGTGCACTCCACCATTCAAAATGCACACCAACCCAAAGCCCAGGGTTGATTACCTAGGGCCCTAGATATACCTGGCTCGACCCTTTTCTTCCATAGAGCTGAGGTCCTGGGGGAACTGGTTCCTGACTGCTAGAGTGTCTGCAAGCAGGTCACCATGGATGCCTGACCGCCTGCTTTGGCAGCTCTCTCATGTGAAGGACTTGAGGTAGGAAGGGAAGAAGGATGGGGGAGGCTACAACCCAAGGTGGCCAACAGCTGCTGCATAGGCACATAGACATCTCATCCCTTCCAAAGTTTCTCCACCCACGTTAAGAATTTAAGTTTAGCACTATTCTTCCCACTTTATTCAAAACAACAGAAACCCACCAGTTGTACAGTGTCTTCCACATATTAAGTCGGTCAGTGTGTTATTTATACATTGGCTCCATTATTCCCACATTACAGGAACCCTGCAGGGTAAGAAGCCATCCCCATTTCACAGATGACGAGACTGAGACTGACAGAGGTGAAACTGCCTCCCTAGTGTCCTACAGCTGGTGTGGCAAGGCCAGAGGCTGCACTCTGAGCTCTTCACACTCTAGTTTATCAGCACAGCTTGCATCACCTGGCAGAGGTAAGTGTCACCTGCCTTTACTGGCTGAGAAGTTGGCAGAGCAAGAACATGCATCCAGGCCCAATCCCAGGCCTCCGCAAACCTGGTGGATCCCTACATGAAACCAAAAGCCATAAGGGACACCTGTGAAGGTGGCTGGGAAGAAGGAACTAGGCGTGAACTAGCTTGAAGTTCTGGCCTCCTTACAACCAGGCTGCCAGCTCCTACATCCCCTGTCCCTGGCTCCCTTCCCACTCAACTCAGCCCTGGGAAAGTCAACACACATTTGTCACTCTGACAGCACAATAATGAGAGGAAACCAGGGCCTGGAGTAGGAACAGACAGGGCACACAATGCCCTGCACAGCAGGGCTGCCAAGCAGAGAGACTGCCTCCCACCCAGTGCATAGTCACTTCCCACCTGTGTTCTAGGGTCAACCAGCTGCCCTTTAAAGGCAGGCCCTCAGGCTGTGGCAGGGACCTAGGGAGTCTGTGATGTCTTTCCAAAGAGGTCTATCAAAATGTACTCCTAGGTTGTTGCCAGGCAACCAAACAACAGTGGGACAGGTGTCCCTCAACCCCAACTGTCTGCCCTGTTTACCTGGACCCAGCTCGGGTATCACTCCTAAGAAAAAGATGAAGGGGTGTGCTGGCTTGGAAATTTCAAACTCGATTCATCTTAAAGCCATTAAGAACTATTTGGTCAAGTGACAGGGAACTGAGGTCTTGGCACAGATGGGTGAGCCTGGGTCTGGATGAGTGCATTCCTAGGCCCAGTTTCTCCTTCCAACAGCACCAGCATTCTCACTCTCCCTGACCTCCCTGAATCTCAGGCCAGGAAGTCAATGCAGGTACCCACGAGTTACCTGCAGAAGCTAGGAAAGAAGTATGTGAAGTTACTCTGGCTTCTGCCTGATGTTTGGAAAGTCAGCTCTGAGGCTATGTGAAGAAGCAGCCGACTGTCCCCTGGGACTCCCATCCCAGCCAAATGAGGGTTGTCACGTCAAGCCTGTCACTGTTTTCTCACTTGAGCTGGAGATGCTGCTGTGAAGCAGAGGCTCTGACGGGCATGGGACTGTGGAAGCATCACGCTTGCTGCTGCAAATGCATGACATGAGCCAGAAGCCTAACCAGCCGGAAGGAACATCCACTAAAAGCACATTATCTGTGCTCAGAGCACCCTGCCCTGCACTGGGCCTAGGGAAAGCACCCTACACGCACCTGTTAAAGAGGTTATTGCGGCGAACCATCCGCAGAAAGCCAGTGGGGTCAGTGACCGAGTTGAGTTTGTTGTTCATCTCTTCAAATTGCTGGTCCATGATGTCTCCCGCTTCACTCTCTGTCTCACTGCTGGCACAGGCCCTGCAGGAAAAATTGCAGAAAAAGCCAATCAGAGACAGGAAGCGCTGAGCTATGGAAGTCAGCTCTGAGGTCCTGTGCCATTCTGTCACCAAACGATCCTCTAGTACCATTGCCTCCAGATGTCAGCATTACTCTACTCCCTCCTCAGTGTCCCTGAGGCCCTCTTCCTGAACTTCTTTTGTCCACTACTTCTCCAGATGAACTCTGGTTGGTTGTTTATGGGCTGTCACCCCCCACTCTGCTGTGAACTCTCTACAGGCAGGAGCTGTGTCTGAATAAGAATTGTATTCCCAGCATCTGGCATATGCATGACAGACTAGGTGAGGTGCTGTCTGTGATGGGCTGGCCACACACTCTTCCCAGAGTAGAGCTGAGGCAAGTGCAGCTGTGAGGCAATCCTCCCTGCACAAGCTGCAGTCCAGTCCATTTCAGAAACAGTAACTAAGTACCTACATCGTGTTGGGTACTGTCCTAGGCAAGGGAGACATGCAGCCTAAAATGGCATTTTCCAGATGAGGGGACAAACATGCTGACAAGTGGCTGCAATGCTAGTAGGGCAGGCACTGCTGGAAACGCAAACATGAGAACTGCTGCTGATGTGGCCCATTTTCCAAGCTCAGCATGAGGAGGTGACCATTTTTTAATTAATAAATTCATATTTCCCCTATGACAGCCTTTAACAGAACATCTCACAATGTGTTTTAAGTAAACAAAAATACCCAGGAGTACCTTGATTCATCAGCATGATTAAAATGGCAAAAGGCTTAATAAATGCCCTGATGAGACACGGACAGCCAGGCCGTGGCTAATGTGTCTGTGGAAGCACTGCCGGCCTGCAGTCATCCTCCTCCATGCCACACCATGCCTCCCAACCAACTGAGGCTCACAAAGGCGCATGTCTATGTTGAGCCCTCACCTATCCTAGGCATCAGGAACACATTCAGACTTTGCTGAGATGCTTTGCTGAGATGCTTACTGATACCTCGCCCACAGGAAAACTACTTTCAGACCTTCCTGCTAAGGACTGGCATAAAGAAGTGGAGGGCACCAGGGCACTGCAGGCAGCAGTCAGTCACTAGCCCCTCATGTGCTAAGCAGGTGGGACTCTGGAAAGGCGCAGACCACCTGTTGCTAAGAGGAATAAGGCTTGGTGCATAGAGATTTGGGTTTAAGGCAAACATGACCCACTTCAAATGGCCAAGCTGGTGACACCTGTGACAGAGAAGGGAAATAAGCCCCTCACCGGCTCATTCTGGGGGGCAAATGAGACATGGCATGTAAAGCTGCTATGCAAACTTGAATGCTCTATGTGAACACCAACCCTGGTGTAAGGGCTAAATTTATGTCAACGTGACTGGGCTGCAGGGTGCCCAGATATTTAGTTAAACATTATTTGGGGTATGTTTGTGAGGGTATTTCTAGATGAGATTACCATTTAAGCTGGTAGACTGAGTAAAGTAGACTGCCCTCCCCAGCATGAGTGGGCCGCATCTGCTTATCCATTGAAGGCCTGGATAGAGCAAAAAAGTAGAGAAAGAGAAAATGTGCTCTTTCTGTGCTGTCACCAACCTAAGGCATCAATCTTTTGCCTTCAGGCTTGGACTTGAACTGAAACTTACACCACTGGCTTTCCTGGGTTTCCAGCTTGCTGCAGCAGATCCTGGGGCTTCTCAGTCTCCATAACCACATGAACGAATTCCTTATAATAAGTTTCCTTTATCTCTTTATAAAAATAAATAAATATACATACAAGCACATCCTATTTATATCTACGTGTTTTGTGTGTGTGTGTGTGTGTGTGTGTGATCTTTTATTGGTTCTGTTTCTCTGGAAAACCCAGATAAAAACATCTAGTAATTATCTCAGAACCACACTGATGACTGGTAAAGTCCTGGCTATTGGCCTGCTTTTGTTCCCAGCCTTCACAGTCTGGAACTGGCTCTTTAACCATAGTGCAGTACCTGGCATGCAGCAGCTATGCAGTGGGGAATTGCTGAATGAATGAATGACCTATGCTGGAGAGAATTTTACAATGTGCCAAGTATTTTTACACAGATTTAATTTTATCTCTATGACAACTCTGTGAGGTAGGTCTTATTATCTCTATCTTATATCTAAGGTGACAGAGGTTCGGAGAATCCAAGGAACTGGGCTAAAAAGTATTAATTAGGTGGTAGAGCTGAGTCTGAGTCCAGCTCAGATCTGTGGCACTCACTGACCTCCCTCCCCTCCCCCTAAAAGGCTCTAAGCTTCTCACAGACTCCATGCTTCTCTCCTGGGGTTTGACTTCGACAGGGAGGGGCTGAATATAGGAATTAGGAGAAACCAGGAAACTTCTAGCATCGAAACAAATCACCAAGCTTCCATCATGTTGGACAGCTTTTATTCCTCTCACTGCCTGGTGGACGTCAGCTGAACAGGCAAGCAGGTGAAGACTTGAAAGGCTCCTTTGGGAGCTGAAGGCCCTTCACAGAGACCCTGGTAAATATTACTCAATGAGCTCCTCTGTCCAGGGACACATTTATCATCTGAATGCAACTGCCTGCTTGGAGCTGAGAAATCGGCTTGTCATTCAACACTTTGCAAAGGGGAGAAGAATTGCCTGGGACCTGTATCAGCCTCCATTATCTTGCAGTTCTGTTCTTACTGTCAGCCACAGACTGAGCCCTCAGTATCTCCTGCTTAATGGGGTTGTTTCCTATTTCCTGACCCTTCAAAGTATTAACACTGAAGGGAAAAATAAACAGGCGATGTCATAGATAAAGGGATCTCCCATTTACAAAACAAGCCTCATATCTATATAGTAGGATTCCCTAGTGCCTTGCTACCGGTTCTCACAGCACACTCACTCTCCTGCACCCATTTCTCTGAGTGACTTTCTAGAGATGGCACATTTGGTCACCATAGGCCCTGATTCAATCCATATTGCTTCAACAATAATTACTGGGTGGGAACCATGTGTAAGAATTATAGGGGCTAAATAGATGAGAGTCACATTATAGCTGCCTTCAAGGTGCGTACTATCTGGTATGACTAATATCCTTTAGTTCTTCCTTATTACTAGCCAATCCCTTTTACTCCAATCTCTGTTCAAATTATTGTGTGGTTTCTTATTCTTGCTTTGATACTGACTGATATATACTGAATGTTAATTTAAAAAACAAAATAAATCCTATTACCAAATCCTGGGAGGAAGTCAGGAAAGTAAGATAAGCTTTGGTGCCCCTCACTCATTGGTGAGGTCATTAGGCTGACCAATCCTCAAAAACTCACTGTGCAACCAGTACATCCAAGACACTCAGCTGGGGCTGGGATTACTCAAAGGAAGAACACTTCTGCCCTGAGAAGCTGCTAGATAGGCACAGTAATCTCTGCAACATGAAAAATAAATTACTACATAGTAGCACATGTATGTATATAGAGAGATTGAATGAACAATCAGTACAGGATAAGCAGGGGAGAGAGCAAGAAAAGAAAGAGAGGAGGAGGGAATGAATATGAGAATGTGAATAAACAAACAGTGGCTGTGCAGAAAGAGCCCCTAAAGCATTTAGTCTTACAGCCTGATTTTAGCCACTATTCTGATGGCCATGATCTGAAACGAAGAAACAATAGAGACACACTGGCTTTGCAGACAAAACTGGCAGTCATAGCTCAGCAGAGGATAACTCGAGGGAGAGAGGGCACGTGAGCCGGGTGGCAAGACAGGAAGAGTGGAAAAGGAGGGCACTCCTGGCCCACCAGCTGCTCAGCACTGGCAAGCTAGGGAGGCACCAAAAGCTAAGATTCCGCCTGTCTTTTCTTCCCAGTCTGCTTACATTCCACTCCTGCCTAACCAGCTCTGGACCCTTGGCCCTGCCTACCTGTCTTGCCCTCCAGACTTGGCCACACACTCGATTTCTCCTTCCTTCGTGGCTCTCTAGGCATGAGGATTCTGGCTCAGACGTCCTTCTTGGGCCCTTTCTACTCCTGGACTCTGGAGGGTAAAAGAGGACCCTGTTCTTGTTCCAGGGGCCTGACTTGGCACTTGCCCATCAGCCAGAGTCCTGCCTGGACCTGACCCTAGTCTTTTGCCTGGAGTCAGGTAGAAGGTTGAGGTCTGGATCATTATGGTCATGGAGAACAGTGAGGGCAAAAGGTCAAAGTCAGTACAAGCTGGCTTAAGCAGACGGCAGCAAGGTATACCTCCTGGCGAGGGCTGAGCAGTCCAGAGACAGGCAGTAGCTGCTTCATGGTACCTACCTGCCCTGCTAGCATCTGTTCCAGGGACTCTGTGAGAAGCCCAGATCCTGCCTGCTCTGGGCAATATAAATCATGCCGTCACCAGAGGCAGGCTCCAAAATGCTGTTCACATGCAGCTTTCCCCAGAGAGATGGAAATGGCTCATGAATCAAGCACCTCAGAGCTGTGCCAGAGCTCATCCTGTTCTTGGGGACATGGCTTGGCAAGAGGCTCCAGATAGGATTTTCATTTGCAAGCATGGCCACCTGATCTCTCCAAGAACATGCTTGCTCTCTGTCATTCCCCTGACAGTTGCAACTGAAGCTCCACAAGGCACACTTTTATTTATGTCTCAACATCCTTTTACTACCTCATTCTGTCTCCATTCCCCGCCCCCCTCCAGGCTTCTTGTGCACTGATAACCAGTTACTTGCCAAAGACCAACCAATTGCAACCCTGAAGCTGGAAACGACAGGCGAGAAACTCCATCTTCAGTTTCCTGTGCACAGGGCAGTGAGACAGCTCCTACACCGCTGGCCCCATGCCCGATGGGAGCAGATCAAAGGCAGCAAAACACTCCTTTTTTCAAAGCGAGGATCTTTTTGCAATTGGTAAAACTTCAGAAAGCAAGAGTTAGTGCATTTGCAGCTACTTCCTATAATCATTTTTTTGCCTTCTGATTCTGAGAGGCCAGGTCTAACTGTGCCAGTACCCTATGTTGGGGATTCTACAACCAGGAAGCAGAGGGTATCTTGGAGATCTGAAAAGGTGCACAGATG